CGGTGGCACGTGGGCTAAGAATACTGCAAGTGTCGCCCGGTCCCTACGCGGGCTCGAATCCGCGGTTTCGGAGTACAATGCTGGCTTGCGATGCTTATGGCTACGGACCGGCATTCACGTTTAAAGATAATGAAACAGACAACATTGAAACCCTTGATAGATCATAGAAAGAATATAAATCGCCCAATTGATAGACTTAGTGTACAAACCGGGATTAAATACGGGTTTCCACTGACTTCGTCTGTATGTCAATTTAGTTTGCAACCACCTTTGTGGAATATGGCTTTGTGTTATGGCTTAACAGGCACAATGAGGTTTTGCTTAACTCCCTAATGTATCATTTTCTGGCTTTTTTGGGCCGCTCCAGCGATGTGGGGTCTTAGTAACTTGTTCGTTTAATTTTAAGGGACCATTCTATTCGTACGTTGTCTTAATGTAAAGGCTTCAACTGGCAGTCTTGGGTTGGAGTCGCAGTGCCGCTATCCTTAACCTGACGAGTGCAAACACGTACGAAATCGGTCCTAATGTGCAATGTTCCAAGCTGGCAACCCCCGGCAACGATCTGTTTCAGATTCGGTCCCATTGATCATTGTTGTCCAGTGTGAGATTGGGTGTCGCAATCCATCCATCTTATCTAATACTCCCATTGTCATCTGTTGATCGTTTCTCCGTCGATCACGGACTGACGATTCAATAAGCAGGATTATACACTGCATATCACCGCGCTGAAGATGCCACCTCGCATGGTGGTGAAACGTATCAATCCCTTTATCAAGCTCGGAGAAACAATCAACTGGTGAGCAACCAACCTGGGTGTTCCAAATTATTTCGACTCCCATTGTCAATCGTCTGTCGCGTTAACCTGGAACTTTAGTGGAACGTTGCCTAATACAATGCTCAAGATCATCATACTGCAGCCTTATCTGAAAGGCACTCCTTTTCAACGAATCAGTCTTGTATCGAACTCTCAACTCTTTCATTGTACAGCTTTATGAAGCATTTCGGTGTTGCCTGCTCAGTCTTATGTGCTGCATCAATGTGGGTGTATTTGGCATTGTTCCATTAACCGTCTAACTCTTGTCACTACCAACTATGTGCAGTTCGACTTCAAAGCTTAAGTTAACAGGCATCGCGCTGAAAGGCGCAACCTGTTTGTGGTCTGCGCTTATGCCCCAGCCGATTGTAGCTGTGAATTGATCGAGAGCGATTTTCATCATCGAACTTATTTGACCTCATCAGATGGAGATAGCAGGCATCGAACCTGGGACCGTTGGAATGTTAGCCGAAACGTTTGTCTTTTCGGCCACCGAGTCACGACCGGGGTAGGTTTTTCGGTTAACATTCAAATAGTTTTGGGTCCGAAATCGGTCACGGAGTGCAGTATTTTCCGTAGGACAACACCCCCCATATTTCTCGGCTTCATCACTTTCGGTCTTAGTGTTCGAATTAGCCAAGCTTCTCTACAATGAGAATCGCGGTCCGCGCTGAGATTCTCGTCTCAATCCATTCACACAGCTAGTGCTTCACAAAGACCCTTCAATTAACTTCTTCTGCTGGTATGCACAAAGCCTACAGATCGGGCGGCGTTATCCTTGCCGGCAACTTCAACACAACAGTTGTCTGCCTGTCACCAGGGGCATACCACACACTCAGTGAGACTCGCTTGGATAACGGAACCAACCTTCTCACTTTTTATGATCACCACAGTCCTATTAGGACTCGTCAGTAGCCCGCACCCGCCGAATCTTACCGGATTCCGACCCATGACTTTACTTTTACGAATTCAGCGACTTATACCACTGAGCCATGAGTGACGGTGGCGGACCGCCATGACTGATATCTAACCGCGATTTAGTGCGGCTTATCCTCCACTGTCGTGTATGTGGTGAACGTACAGAAGACAGGGCTGGCCCCCAGAGCTACGGTTTCCTTTACTAGCCGCCGGCAAAAGTCCGCTATTGACGAGCCTCAATAGGGCGGAGCGGCCGTCGAGCATTTTCCTGGTGGTATGGTGGCTGTCTGGTGGCGCTTAACTGCGACGAATCTTCTCGAAAACACCATCTGTGTTTTCCGCATTAAATTCGGTTCAATCACCCCTCGAATGGTTGAATTTCTGCGCACTCTCTATCACTGTTGGGCCGCTACCGAATCCTTCCACTAAACTTAGACCAGAATGGACTTCGCGGCACTGTTGGCCGACAGCACAAACGATGGCTTTGCAGCGATCTTGAAGTTTGATTCTCCTAACTTGCTTTGAAGATGTGAATCGCCACTGTTGCTGGAATTAATCGCACGTTGCTCCAGATCATTCGGACCACTGGACACAGGATGTGTGGTGTCAACGAGGTTATCTAGGCGAACGAGTCGCAAATTACTAACTTGCAGACGCATTGGCAGATGGGCTGAACACATCCCATCTCAGTTCAGTTGCTCTCCGCCGTCTAACTTCCCACTCAACACACCTAGTCGCATGTCATAGGCAGTGTTACTAGAACCTTCAAACAAAGCAGATGTCTGCCATGAAATTCGACTTTTGAAGCGTTTGTAAGGCTGTGGACTCGGACGAAAGTCCTCCAGAACTGTTCAAGTACGGTGGCACAGCAGTTACCCATCAACTAAGGTGTTACCGAAATAAATGGTCTTCTCTTGTTGTGGAGATTCTGTATTTTTCCCAATCTCCCAGATAAGTTCTTGTACTTCATGCGCTAATTACAGAGGGGTTAGTCTGACTTCGGTTGTCTCCAATATAAAGCAGAACCTCCGAAGTTGACCGCGACTATATCTTGACCACCTTTCCAAGTTAACCGATTTCGATGGTCATGTGGTTGTCGAACAATCCAAACTCAGACTAGCGGCTAGGAGATCGATCACTCAGACTCACGAACACTTCGTACGCGCCACTCTGCTAAGTACACGCGCACTGATGATGTCGCCTCGAGTGGTGACGAAACGTTTGCAGTCAACCTGCCGAGCTCAGCGAACACTCAGTCCACCAACTTAACCGTTTTATTTTTCATTGCTTGAACGTTCACCATGTAAACCTTATGGATTCAGACCTCTGTATGTTGCTCACTTTGGTCCAGTCTTTTGAGTTATCAGCCATCCATCATGCTCTGCAGGCTAGCCCCAATGAATGAGACGGTACCACGAGAAATAGGGTAATTTTCGCCTTGGTTGGGGATGTGCCCATCAAATATTCACGCTTCGTCACCTCATCGAACGTCGTCATCTCTGTTGCAGACTTGCCATCTTCGCCTTTCGGAAACTCGGGTTGCATTCGATTTAGTAGGCCGACCTGCTTTGTGGCTATATTTGCTAAAGAATGGATTTCCCGAAAAGTACGTCGCTATACTTCTGACACTATCTCCATACTTCTTGCATAATGAGAGCCTACGGGAAGTGCACTCTTCTATGTCACCAAGGATATGCAACAAAGATGTCATATGTCTCTATTTCTCCTCAACTTCGCGATCGAAAATGTCCTGCTGAAAGCTTTGAAGAGTTTTAGCATCGAGTTCCGTACAGGCAATCACTTAATCCACTTAGATTACGCTGATTGTATCGCTTTTCTCACTGAAAACCCATGGAATGCAATTGATCCTTAACCTATTTGATGATATGATATGTGCTTTGCCTCTTCTAAGTTTAAACTGCTGTTACAGCATTGGTAGACACCTTTTCCTCAGCTCACCAGCGAAGGCCTACAGCTCGAACATGAAGATAGTTTTGTCTACCTAAGGAGCTTCTGCCCACTTCTGCCCACGGTACTGTTGGGGATGTATCACTTCGCATCACTAAAGCCCGGTCGGTTTTTGCAAACTTAAAGCACTTGTGGCGTCGTCGCGACATTTCGCTCACATTAAAGGATAGGGTTTACGAGGTCTATGTACACGCGATACTGTTGTATGGATGCGAATCCCGACCGATCCATGTAGATGGCATGTATATGCTTTCGTGCTTTGACAGTGGCTGTTTACGGAGGGTCGTCCACGTGTGTGGTTTCAATACGGAATGCGCAGTGATGACGTCAGACACCGCTTTTTAGGCAGGGCTTATCTTCCCCTCTATGAATCTGTTCCGTCGCACCATTTGTGAAGGTCTGACCACGTCATACGCATACCTAACGAGCGTTTGCAATGCCTTGCCTTATTTACACGCGCGGGGCCGCACTGGAAGCCACCACATAGAGGGAAGCCAAATATTTGGCGACGAAACATGAGATTATTGACATCTTGACTCGCCATACCGGTCGGTTTCCGAAAGAATTGCGCGCTTGTATTGTTCTCCTCATTCGCTGGTTCTAATCCTCGTAGATATAGGTGACCATGCGAAATACCCAGCCCTTGTGCGACTGGGGGGTGTTTGCATGTCAACGAATCGCCGGAACGGTATGCCGGCTTACTGCCAATGTCTTTTTGTATTGCTCACCCAATACGTCTTCCTAGTTGGAGGCTTAAAGATGAATAATGCTAGTGCCTTACAACGTTGGAAACAGTGGCGTAAAATCGGTTGCGGTGATAGCAGTGTGTGCAAATCTGTGTGCATTAACTGTGTGCATTAACTTAAAATGTTAAAATATATTTATATTCATTGTTCCTCCCATTATTTTTCCTATTTTCTAAGTCTTGTCTATTTTGCAATATTTTGACTCGATATCAGTTCCTATTGACGGCTCTCTTTCTCGGCCTGTGGCGTAGTGGTCTGCACGCTTGGTCGCCGGTTCGAATCCGCGTAGGGGCGGGCGTCATCGTGCGCGACTGGTGGTGATGGCATGGCAGCGAAGCACCGTTACGGTGTATATATATATATATATATATATATATATATATATAATCACAGTTGGGACGGTCTCCATTTAGCTTGACGATATTTTTGCTTAGCACGATCATTCCGTGGTCACTGACTTTTTACAGACGCGGATCTTCTCCTCCAATGTTACTCTTGGCATTACGTATGTCAGAAGTTGTGGTAATCTTCCCCTCGTCTTCCTCATTTTCCAGCTTTCTCACCTGTCCCAAATTGTCCACCTGGGCCAAGGTAAACTTTGCCTGTTCGACTCACCCCAGCGATGCTGTGAACATCATGAAGCACAATTTGGCGTTTCCTCGTCCGACATAGCCTCGTGCCTGGACCGGATTATACGGCACCCTTCTGCTTGCGTAATCCATGCACAGCGAGTTCCGGCGGAAGTAAACGCATGGCAGCGTACTGTATACTCAGCGCTACGAAGGGCTAGGCGTCGGCCTATTTTGGAATCAGAACTCGGATTTGCGGTTGTGTACTCATCTACGAGCGGTTACTGTAATCCAGAAACTAAGTGTCGTGAGTGCGATCAATTTTAGTCTACTTTTAACACTGCCATATCGGTACGCTTATTGTACCTCTCATTAGAGCCTATTAGCTAACATCTCTCATGTTTAATCAGTCTCTGGTACCAGCCACACAAATATCTTACTCTAACCTGAGAATTCTTGCCATGCGGACGGAAAACACTAAACTGTTTGGCCAATCTCGACAAAAGTTTTGTAGTAGATTGAGTCCTTTTCGTTAATGTAGCACCTTCTCTTTCATCTTTAACCGAAACGTACTGCGCTGGAGTGAGGCCTTCAAGTCAAAGTACTAACTCGATTTCATTGGTCTGTTTTTTAACCTCGTAACTCAATACATATGTGTTGGACATGTATTATCTCTCTATCGTTGTATGCCCTTTAACCAGCTGAAAAGCTGTATCAGGAAGCCGGCATTTCTCAAGCCTTCTCGATCAATCCATTTCACATGGACTCACAGCCAACAAATAAACGTGTTCTTGAAGAGCGCACAGACAATGTACCTGTTGTGTCACCACCGTTGAAACGACCTAGGTAAGTTTTCCATCAACTTGGGTACTCTTACTCACCATTTGCAGGTGGACGGCGATCATTATTTTCATCATCATCACCACCTGTTTTAAGACTCGGAGCTCGCTTTTTTGATTGTCATTCCACTACCCATTTTCAGCAACACACATGTAATTCCCGTATTTCAGCTCACTGTGGCGCTCTGCTTTCCCAATGAGATTTATCAGATTTCCAATCATCTTCGCAGGTATGAGCTGCAGTTCAGTTCCTTTAAACGACTCGCATCGACGAAAGAGTGGTCCAGAAAATAAGTGAATTAATCGGTTAGTTTTTATTGTTGATAGCCATTTGCCGGATCCTGAATGTAGGATTACCCTGTGGCTGGTCATCCCGAAATCACCATCCTGCGCGGTTCCACATAGTAGCTAGACCATGTCCTTCAACTGGTTTCTTCTCGCCTTTCACTATGACCAGTTAATGCTCGGCTTCGCTCGGCTGGAAACAGCATTGGCACACGATGCACACCGAGGCATGTGGTCAACAGGTGAATCGCGAACTGAGAGAGAAGTTTTAAAGACAAATGTTAAAGGAGTGTTCTGCCAGGCAGCATGATGCACATACGTGGGTAGTAATCTTTCGACATGCTTTTACCGAGCCTCTGCAAAATCCTATGAGAGCTTAACGCTTTCATTCTCTCTCTGCGTCCCCGTTACCCTTTAACTTTCTTTTTCTCGATTGTGAAACATTCACCTTCACGTCCTTGGCGATGTGGGTGATCTGCTTGTTCATGCAGTGCATCGCCTGGCTTACAGGGGCGATGAGATCTGGACAGCCCTTTGATTGCGCCTGCATTATCTAAGTGCAAATTGTCGGTGAATGGATGTTTCGACTAGACCTCTAACAAGTTTGCAAGTTCCGTGAAACACTTCTTGGCAAATGCTTAAAAGCCACTAACCTGACCAGTCTTATTCTACCTCATCTGCGTCTGAGTATGGTGGTTCTGACTTGGCAACCTGGATATTGGGGCATTTGGCTTGTTCTACCTTACGCAGTCTTTGACGTTTGGTGCTTTATTTCAACGCCGTTGGACTGCACATATTTGCAGCATAGGGAATCCGGCCATTAGGCTTAATGAGGTGATTAAAAATACCTAAAAATGCTGGTGGGTCCAATTGACTGCTCCTCTGCAAACGTCGCAGTATACCTTTTCTCCAGTCCGCGTACCTGTTGTCTTATCCTACCCCAGTTTGTTTTCCTCTGGGAATGGGATGTTTCCTGTGCGGTCGTGCTCATTGCATCGCTATGTTTGGCTTCATGCAGAAGTTGGGGACAGATCACATCATACGAATTTCTGTGGTCCGATTACAAAATCGCCCTCTCACGTATTGACTTGGTCTTTTATTCAACATATGCTGAAGCTACTTCGTTAAATAATGGGATACACCATTTATACGGTGGTATTAAGGGTGTCGTGATTATCCTCTAATTCAGCTAATTAATTATCATCACTTCCAATCAGCAAGTGTTGACTAGTCTGGAAAAGCACCAGACGCCGTCGTCTCGACCTTCTGACCCTCGTCATTGGTGCTTCTCCCAGCGGATCCCTGCTGGGAACGCTCTGGTTGCTGGTTTTTAATCCGCTTGTGATACGGCGCCTTCTTTATCGAACTTATTTTACCCAAGACCTCATCTGAAATTGACTTTATTCGAATGATTAGCATGTATTCTAAATAGTTTTCTTTACTGAATTAAAATGGCTACCAAAAGCTCTGTCACGGTTCCCATGTTGCGTTCTCCGTTGCCTGTTATTCCGCAATGAGCTGTTGTACGTATAATTCTTTTGGAAATTACAATAAGCGACACGTTTGTTCACTAAACAAATATTGTTTGAAACGCAACTATCCAGTTTCCCTGAAACTGTTCATCTCAGCAATACGCCATTTTGTCAAGTGGTTAAATATTCGTCAGCCATTTATCCACGAAACGCTGTGGTAATCCAGTAGAAGTCTTGCCACAATCCACTCTAATTCATTGACTTGAAATTTCCTATTGTTCACACAGCTTTAGCGGCTACCTTATTGAAATAACTGGCCTGTGTAAGGTGAACTTGATTTCATCGAATCTCGTCGTCTAAATAACAGTATATAGTAATAATGAAAACATCAGGCAGATGCAGACAGAATACCAAAAACGACAGTTTAGAACGCAGTTAATAAAACTACTGGGGATGGAATGTTGACAATTAGAAGTAAGAAACCGAATGCAGTTCAGTTCAGTTCAGTTCACTTGATCCGAACGGTGGATTCAGTTGCCATGACTCCCGTCGTAAGAATAACAATACATAAGAACGGGTAGGATAGTGGGGCTGGGTGCAAATATAGGGTAGAGAAAATGGAATCAAAAAGGAACTGCGTTGAACTAATCAGAATGGAACGAAAATCAACCCCCCCCCCCGGATGCAAGAGAACGAATGCAAGTATGCCACTGACTGCGTGTCTGCGCCATATCTGATACGGTCTCCAACCATTGGTGCGGAATATCTCCGTGTCCCCACCAGCCTGATGAAGTTTTTCAATCAGTTTATTCATGTCGCTATGCGACGTCATTGACTGGCCACCTCGCGGTTTCACCCAATTTGATGTAGCCACGGCGTATAATGCAAGTCGAGGAAGCCGGTCAATGGTTATACGGAGGGCATGGTCTAATCAGCATAAACAATTAAGATTTAGCAAACAAATTTAGCCAACACTTGAGTGAAGAACCAGAATACTTCTTGCCAAAAACCAACTGGTGGACTTCATCATTGCTGAACCGGTGTTCCCACTAAACGTGAGCAATACCCTGGAAGCACCGGTGGTCAAATTGGGCCAAACGTTTAAGATCCTCGAAACATAGTGGTTAGGTCTCTGGTTCATACAGTAAGACCGGCTTTACCGCAGCGTTATACACCCTACCTTTCACTGACAGGCTGACATCCCGCCGTCTTCTTAGGTAACTAAGTCTCTAGAAAGCCACACCTGCCTGCCACCAGAGGTGATACAACTACCAAGGTAGGTGAACCGACCCAGCATTTCCAGTGGCTGTTCGTAGATAGCAATAGCCGGAGGTGTGTGTCGATCCAGTCCGGCAGCAGTACTTTGAACTTCGAAGGTGTAAAGCACATGCTGAAGCGCGCAGCGTTACGTGTGACTTTATCCGCTAGTGTTTGCATAGCCACTGCGTCAGACCCAAAGAGAGGTATGTCTGAATGTAGGAGTACCACAAAATACGCGAGTGTGCCATCTTCGGTAGCATCTCCAAGCAGTTTGTGGTCTATGCGGAAACCCCACTCCACGAAGATGGCAAGCATCAGCCAGATCAAGCATTTCGGACAATTCCTCCATGTTTTTGTGCCATATTGCAATTTCGCCCTTTTGAGTGCAGTGGCAGCATACAATGCACACCTAGGAAGGCCGTCAACGCGCATACGGAGGCCATGATCAACCCAACGTAAGCAGGGAAACATCAACAAACACCCCGGCGAGGCATAAAAGTATTTATTGTCAAGCACCAACTGGGGGGTCTCACCAATGCTGACCCGGTTTTCGCACCAGATGTGAACAGCACTCCGCAAGCACTGGTGACCATAGACCAGCAATTTCTTAATGTCTTCAACGCGAAGTGGCCAGGTCTCTGCTCCATACATTGACATCAGCCTTATCGCATTGTTACACACCCTATCTCTCACTAACAAGCTGATACCTCCTCGCAGCCATACATTATTGTGCTTGTAAAATCCACAGACTTTACTAAAGTAACCTTCGCAGTACTGTGACGACCAGAGGCCCGTAGCCTAGAGATAACGAGCTTGTCTGGTAACCTCGCGGCGCGGGGTCGAATCCACGTGGGGTGGGCGTCCTCGCGGCATACTCAGCCCGCGTGCTACTGGTGGTGGTCGCACGGCAGCGAAGCACTGTTACGGCGTACAGCTAATACATTATTTATTATTATTTACTTCTGTTGGCTGATATCTCAAATCGGCGGCATATCGGCGCAGTCCTGCAAAAGTACTCTTCACTTCTAAGGTACAAAGCACATGCGGAAGCGTGCAACGCTGCGAGTCAGTTTATTCATTAGGTGTGCATCACCGCTGCATCAAATCCAAGGAGGGCTATGTTATCCGCATACTTAAGGTTTGTCAATTGGTTACGTGACAGAAATTCCACTCCAGAAGAGGATGAAAGGATGGAGTCATCATCATCATCATTATACCCTTTAGCTGCAGGTGGAAAACACGTTAGCTATTGTGCCGCAATACAAAAGACAATAAGAAAGAAACAACAGAGGCACGCCGGCTGAGTCCTCATTAACGGATGGACATCGCTCCGGAGAGCTAACAGCTTGCTATCGTGCCGTAAAAAGAGAGTTAAATTATGCCTAACGAATGAGATTGTGATAGGAGGGGGAGGCTAAGCGGGAGGGGGATGGACAAAGGAACCCACAACACAAACGCCACTGGGGCCGGATCCTAGTCATATCAGCAAGTGTGTCCAACCAAACGTGTTCATCGTCCTTAGGACCCCAGCCAGGCAGTCGGGATGCACCAACCGACGCCAACTTCGAAGTGAGAGTTTTCATTCCTCTCGAGTCATCGCTTGGCCACCCCGCTTCCTCTTCTAACAGCAGGCCCGGCGTGCAAACAATGCACGTCGCGGGAGTCAGTGTGCTGGCATGTGCAACACGTGGCCTAGCCATTGGAGCGTGGTGCGTGATATAATGGTGCTGAACGGATCACTGGCACTTTCTGCACCAAATACGCGACCCCGAGCACGCTCATAGCTCACGCGATGCTCCCACCAGCCATGAGCTAAGCTGCAAAGACATCGATGATCGAATACGACGAGCCTCATTATGTCTGTCGACCTGATGGGCCAGGTTTCACAACCGCATATGAGGGTTGAACGGACGGCTGCATTATACACTCTACTCTTCAGAGAGAGAGAGAGAGTGATGTCGCGTCTGCGCCACAGGTGGCGAAGATCGGC